CCCAAACACCCTGACAAACAACCGCCTGTTTGTACTAGAACCAGTTGGACCGCACAGGAGCTGGTGCAGGGAGCAGCCTGGCACGTGGCCAGGCTCCACCATGGGACAAGTCACGTTTTAGGGGGGATCATGGGTGGCCAGAAGCCCTGGCCTGCAGAGCCGAAGCCWGGGATGTGCTGGCAGCAAAGCTGGCAGCTGAACGGGATGGCGCGGAAGCGGGGCAGACTCTCTATGCTGAACAGGGGAGGGAGCGTTGCTCACGTGCTCCATTCAGCCTCTTTTCTGCCCTGTCCAGCTACCCCCAAAATGGCCTCCCCCGTTCATTGTGAGCCGGTTCACACGCCAACGAGGGCTTTCCTGCTGTTTTGTTTGAGGTTTCCATCCTCCCTGCTGCTCCGGGCACAGCTGGGAATGCCGGGTTAGGAGGGAGGCTTTCGTGGGTCGCGGCCAGGGTCCCCTGGGGCCCCGAGGCTGCAGCCCAGGAGGGTCCTGTCCGCGCGGCAGCCTAGGAGGCCGCAGGAGGAAGGTGTGAAGGAGCCGGTGCACAGCTTGCCGCTGCTGTCGCTGGGCTGTGCTTTCCCTGCTTGGTCACAGGAGGGAGCCTACCCCGAGCGAGAGCACCTTGGTCTCCCCGAAGGAGCAGGAGCGGCCGGGGCAGCACAGGGGCTGCRGAGCGCGGCGCAGCCCTCGCCAGCCGGACGGGGCCTCTGGGCTGCTGCAGCCCCAGGCCCCTGTGCCAAGGCTGCGTGCGGGCCCTGCTGCACCCCCGCCCCCAGTCGCCATGGGGCACTGCAATGGGCTGGGGATTCGCTATGGCCCTGCAGGCCAGCCCTGCGCCTCGGGGCCATCCCACCTGGAAAGAACGGCTCCTGACCTTGCTAGGAAGCTGCCACACATCTCCTCCGCCCTGACATAGCCTCACCTTCCCCCCCCCCGTCACAAACTCCTGCTTTGCTCTCCTGCTTTAGCACCGACTCCTTTCCTCCCACTTCCCCGTCTCCCTCAAGCGCCAGTCGGGGGAAAAGTGCTGGGAGTGCCGGGAGAGCGTGGCTCCATCCCCTGCATCTGCCTCTGCCGCGGCACTCCACGGGGCTCCTTTTTGGGCGGAATCACCGCCAGCGGGGCTCCATGCGCTAGCACGGCTGCTTGCTTTGCGATAAGAGCATTTGCTAAGGCGGGTGCCACGGCAGGCAAGCCGCGCGGCGACTTTCCCTCAGCCCCACAGCGGCCACCTGCGCAGGCGGCGGGAAAAGCTCCCGGCTGACGTCAGCAGCGGGGCGCGCACCTTGGCATGGGCCGCAGGGCAGGTCCCGGCCTCCCTGCCCTGCTCCAGGTGTTCCTAGAGGAGCAGCTGGAGAAGCCAGGGCCTGGAGCAGCTGCTGCTTTCCTGGGACACCACGTTCTTGTGTTGTGAGCAAGCCAGGGCCCTGGCTGGGGGAAGGTGCTTTGGGGAGGACGGCTCCGCAAGGCCCAGGTGTGCAGGAACCCAGAGAGGATTGTGCTTGCGCTGGGCTTGGTTTTCTGCCTGATCTTCATTGCACCACAGCAAGGAGAGGATATGAAAGGCATCCGCAAGTATCTTTATCATTTCCCAGGGTGTTTTCTTGATGTATTGGACAGGGCTTTGAGCCCTTTGTCTTGGTTCTTCTTCAATGGCTATTTTTCTTTCCAGGTATTTTTTCTCCGCTGTTTGCAAAATGTCTTTTCACACAGTAGCCAGAGAGAAGGGCAGTTTAGAGAACAGGAAAAATAAATAAATAAATAAATAAATAAATAAATTTATAAATTTATAAATTTATAAAGCCACTGGAACTGGCCCAGGCCCAGGCCCATGAATAGCACCTGGAACCACTCTAGCCCTGGCAGAGTAACAGGCTGGCAGTGTTTGCCTAGGCTTGGACAAGTCGTGAAGCCATTTCCAAGGCATAACAACACTTTTATTGACCTCACCATTACCATACGCACACAGGAGCCGTGCTGCAGCCCTGCTGGGCTATGGATGGAAGCAGGGCAAAGCAGCAGCATGAGCTGCTTGATTGGATGAGAAGAGGGTCAAGGCTTCGGGGCACAGGGACTTTCTTGCTGGTCTTCCTGTGGTCTCACTAGCAGAATCTGGATGCTGGAAAGATTCTTAATGTGTTTAGGACTTTTTAGGAGGGAGAGGGGAGCAGAGGTTCTGCACTTGTGTTTAGAGGGTTGCTTCTCCCACACAATTGTCTCAGCAACGATGGTGCTGTGGCTGGGAGAGGGGTGAGCCCTGCAGGTCCCACAGCTGCCTTCTCTGCTCCCCAGATGTGAGGACCATGGGGCAGCAAGGCAGGTAGGATGAGGCAGCTGCGTGGGAGTAAGCACCTCCTGAGCTTTAGAGCAGGGGAGCTTGTAACACCCACATTAACAGGAGCCAGTGGAAGGTCTCCAGGCCATGAGGGCTGCTCGTGGTCACAGGAGGAGGACTTTGAGAGGCAGATGGCAGAGGCTGAGAGGAGGCACATAGGAATGACTGCTGCAAAAGGTTAGCTGCTTAAGAGAAGGAGACTAACAAACACTGGCCCTGTTCTGTCTCACGGGCACAGGTGAAGGATTTCAGGGTCTGCCTCTGAGCAGAAAACCGGAGAGAAAAGCCACCTCGCCCCTTTGTTACCAGCAGGTACAACAGTTGGTCCCAGCAAGGCTATCTCTGTGCTTAGGCATCAGCCAGGAAATATGGGGACTTAAACCCAGCGCTGGTTCACCAGGAAAATATATTGGACTCAGATACATGAGACCTGACACATCTCAACATGTGTTGCACAGCCCAGCTAGGAGACTGTGCTACCAATGTTATGAGGTCTTTTAGGTCTCTTAAAACTAGTTGCCARCCCTTGGAGCCGGAGACACAAACACTTTGTGTGGGTTCTGGAGTGCAGCAGTAAAAAATAAAAAAWCTCCTTTACAGATGATGTGACCTGCTGCTTTCCTGTCCTAACTTTCTCAGGGACTTTTCATTGCACCAAGGAAGCCAGCAAACATACCTCCCATGTCCCATGCATTTGCTGGGTAAGCCTCCCCATGGGGATTTTGGTGGCACGTGGCAGGGAACTACAAGGGACGTAACCCCTTGCTGAAGTGCTTACATAACTGGGAAACAAGTAACATGGGAGTCCTCGAGGCAACCAGCACCTTTGCTGGTGAGAGCAGCAGGAATTGCTGTGTTTTGATGAACTCATCTCATCTGCACTAGTAGTTCTGGCCGTCAAATACTTTAAGGCTGATGATGACTGGAGGAGCCGGAAGGAACAACATCCAGCAAACAATTGCAAAAGTCAAGTCTGAGCAAGGAGGAGGGTGTGTGTGCGGGGGTTGCCAAATCCGGCAGTATTCCTTGGAGACGACAACAACAATCACAGGAATATTTAATCACGCTACTACTGTGCCTCGCTGAACCGAAACTGGCACCAGAGCTGGGGGCTTGGGAATTGGAGCTACCATGAGGAACAATCAGGGGGATGTGGCCACCCCAAAAGTGACTGGAACAATGCAAAGCCACTCTGCTTGCCCAGTGTTTGGCGTCATCACTCTTTTCTAGTCTGTCACTGGGAATGAAAATGAGGCCAAAGGCCAAACACAACAAGAGTCAAAGTGATTCCCAGCGTGATAAAAGAGATGGATCAAAACGCACTCAGCCCTCAAACAYAAATGCCGCAGACCGGAACTGAAAGAAAGAGCATTGTGATGCTGGGAGTCAGGGAAATCGCCTGATTAAGACAGGTCCATGCAGGATTGCGAGATGAAGGTGTGAATCAACTTGTTTAATGGGTTCTCCATCTAGGCACGAAGGTGGTTCAGGGCCTGTCTTCTAACAAGGAAGATCTTCACCATCTTCTTGAACCAGGTCTTCCCACCTCTAATTTTCAGTAGCATGAAGGTAACGTACATGTGGGTCAATTTCTCTCCTCTCCCCATTGCTAGTGGCAGAAGTAGCTTACAGCCCTGACCATGAATTCCTATCTCCRGTGATGCTCTTCTTGCAGGGTGGACTTATTGGAGAGTCTTGCTTCTCCTGCTATCTTCTTGGCTGTTTCTGAGCCTTTTTGATCTCAACATCATCCGGTGGCAGTGAGTTCCGCARCGTGATGGCTCATGCTGAATATTCAGTGATTTACTCGGGGCTGCCTTACATGAGGCGAGAGAGCAGAAGGTTTCCAGTCTGCTTTTTCTGAACCATTTGTTCTTTATAGTTTTGGCACAGCCCCTCTCACTGATTCCAGCTCTGCCTGTTGAACTACAGAGTCTCCTCAGCCTCTCCACAGACAGGCTGTTCCCATGGTGGCACTGACAGGGCACACAGGGCTGACAGAAGAGGTGGCATTATCAGTGAGGCTGGCTGTGGCCAGGACCAGGACCTCTCACCTGTGTCCAYACCTGAGCTGGGGGGATTGCAGCCACGGGGGCCTCCCACAGCCTTTCTGTGGATGCTGCAGGATCCAGCTGCCATAAAACTTATCCCCCTTCCCGCAACACGGCAGAAATCCCACCTGGGAATGGCATGGAGAGCCTGGGCCTGGGCGAACCTCTCCAGTTCCATCCAACCGCCATGCGAGGAGGTGGCTGGGAGGCCCATCCTGACCCCGTACAGGGTTGGGGGGATGCGTCCTGGCGGGCGGCGGGATGCCCCAGAGCCTGCCCATTGGTGCGGAGGCTCCGCAGCAGGRCTGAGGCTGCCAGCAGGGCCCAGGGGTGCCCCTGCTCGTGCCCCCCTCCCAGCGAGGAGCCGGCACCGTGGGSGCTCCGGGGAGCAGCCGGCTCCGCTCCGCGCTCCGCCGTGCTCGGGGACAGGGGCAGGGACGGGGCCGCAGAGGGGCGGGGAGCCGCGCGGCCCCGCCCGGGCCCGCCCCGCCGCCCGCTGCCTTCTACCCGCGGCGGCGCCCGGCGCGCCGGGACTCGCGGCTGGAGCGGGGCCGGGCGCGGCGGGGCCGGCGCTGCGCGAGGGTTTCGCGGCTTCCCGGGCTCGTGCGGCGGCCATGGACGGCTGGGCGCTGGTGGTGGTGAACGCGCTGCTGGCGGCAGGTGAGGGCCGGGCGGCGGAGCGCGGCGCGGAGCGGTGCGGTGCGGGGCGGCCGTGCGCGCCGTGCTCACCGTGCTCCGTTCCTCCCTCGCTCCGCAGTGTGCGCGGGCGGGCTCGGCCGCGACGTGCTGCACAACGAGGTGCTCCACAAGGACGGGGGGCTCCGCGGCGGCGGGGAGCCGGCCGCGGTCACGGTGCCGCTGCTCCGCGGCAGTCCCGACAAGGAGGGCGGCGGAGTGGCCTCCGGCGACGACTTCAGCGAGCCGCCCAGAGGTACCGGCGGGGCGGGCGGAGCGCGGGCCGGGGCGGCCGGGCACGGGGAGCCGCTCGGGTCGGGGTCCCGAGAGGACCGCGGGGCGGGTGCGGACAAGGAGAGAGGGGACCGGCTCCCGCTTGAGGTGCCGATGTGGCCAGGAAGAGCTTGGCTTGTGAGACTGGGTTTGGGTCCCGTGGCCTGTTCGGGAACGGAGGCTGTGGGAGAGGGCCAAGCCCGGGCTGAATCTGGGTGGCAAGTGAGCCGTGGTGCAGATCTGGAGCCAGTAGGTGGCAAATGTGGATCCATGTGCAGGTGGGGCAGGGGTTGGCYTTGGCTCATCTTGGTGCCCCTGCAGGGTGGGTGCCCCCAGGGTGGCAGCTCTAGCACCCTAGGAGCTGCTTCAAGACAGGCTGCTGTCACTGCTGGGGACACAGCAGGTGCATCCGTGGCTGGGTTGAGAACAGGGGTGCTTGAGAGCAGCTGCTTGAGAGCTCGCTGCTCRTGCCCCTTGCCTTGCCCCATGCCATGGCACCCAAAGGAGTGCCAGCCCCGGGTGCAGGGCAAGATAGGAGTCCTGGGCAGCAGGTAAGAGCCACCCTCCTGCCCAGGACTTGTGGCTGTAGCTCAGGGCAATTGKGTTTTGGTTGCCCCTTATTTTGTGTGAGGGGATTTCCCTGGTACTCCCAGAGTGGCAGTCCCAAGAACCTTCAAGCAAGGAGAGGAGTCCTGATCTTGCAGTCCCTCAGTCATGTCCTGTGAGTGAGAGCTCTGCCCCAGAAAGGAAGAGCCCTTYAGGTGTACGTGGCACCCTCAGCCTGCAGGTGTTGAGCCCTGGGCTGGGTGCCCATCTGCACCACACTGCCTCTGCTGCCTTTCAGATAGTGGCAGTGGTGGCTGCAGGGGAGGGGATGGCTGTGACTCACCCCAGCCCACGTGCGGCTGCTCCTCATACCTAGCTGGGGTTAGTCACCCAGCGGTCCCCTCCGTGGGGGCGTTGGGGACACTGCCTCTCTATTCATCTCTCTGYGCACTCATGCTTGGCTCTTATGCCCCGAGTCAGGACTGGAGGATGTCCTGGTGACTCSCCTGTAGGTTGCACCCATGGGGTGAGATGGGGAACCCATTGTGGGCTGCGAGGAGTGACAGAGCCCAGGCCAGTGTTGCACATGCAACATGCTGAGCTTAGTAGCCTTGTTAGCCTGACACTAGGAGGAGGGAGCTCTACTCTGTGTAACAGTTTTCTCGCTTTTGTCACTTTAATTTTGCTGTCTGGCTGTGCCAATCTGTCAGACTGGGATGCTAATTTACGAAACCAGGCTGGTCACTCAAGTCTAAAGCGATTCTGCCCCTGGGAAATGCTTATTTCCTTGATAGAAGCTGCAGTAGGAGAGCAAAGAGATGCTCYTGTTGGCCCTCTGGTTCTCCAAGCATCCCTCCAACTAGGGTTTCCCATCCTACAGCAGGGGATCCCACAGGCATGGGCTGTGCCTAACCTAAGGACAGATGACCGCAAGAGGACTGGCTGGGGCTGTCTTTTTTGGGGGATACACGGTAGCAGTGCACAGGCAGCTTGCGGCAGCATCTCAGAGCACTTGTGCAATGCTTTGAGCTAACTTACAGCAGAGAAACATGGCTTTTGAGCCAGAGGCACCTTTCCCTCTGTGCTCCAGCCCTGAGGATGGCAGATCTTTTCCCCTGTGATTGGGAATTGGGATCCCCCTTGTGATGGGGGGCTTGGGGACATCTGTGGCATCCCTCTACCTGCTTGGACTAAGCCATTTTCTCCACTTTCTAACAGCGAGATCATGCAAATCCTCTGCAGATGTGCTGCTCAGAGGACCCAGGGCAGCGCCTGGGACAAGGGTCAATGCCTGAGAAGGGCAGCAGTGAGGGCAGCCGGGGGGCAGCGGCACCGCTTCTGTCCCTCCAATAGCACAAGTCCACAGGGAGCCCTCTGCRGCAAGCAGATAACCCGCAGGGGAGGGGACAGCCACTGCTGCCAGCCTGGGACAAGTTCTGGGGCCCTTTGTCTCACCCACATTTGGGGATCTCTCCAAGCGAAAGAGTTTYCTGGAGTATGAGTTGTCTCCAGACCTAGGTGGAAGGATATTCCGGTTGTGAAATAACTTCCTTGGCATGCAGGCTAAATGGTGCCCTGGGGCACGGGAGGCACTTGCATGGGAAGGAAGGTGCCGCACGCTGAGGGCTGAGTTATGTGAGGAAGTTGTTGAGAAAGCATTAGGCACGTCAAGACTTGCCAGGTTAGACTCAGCTGTCCTTTCCCCTGTGGTCCCTGTGTGCATCACACAAATTTATATTGCATTTCCCCAGCCTCTCTAGAGCCCTTAATGTTACAGTTTGTGGGGGGCTGCGAGGTGTTCCGTCAGGCAGCGGGTACCCCTCTTGGCGCTTTGCAAGGTCAAGCTGAGGTTGATAGTTTGGCATCTGCCRTCTTAAACTGTTCTGACAATATTGCTGGTTTCACTTTGTGGCTGTGGAGAGCAACTGAGGAGCAGGGTGCTCTGGCTCTCACCAGCCTGYGTAACCAGCTCGCAGGGAGCTGGCCTTGCACCAAAAACCGCAGAGTCCTGCGTTGCCATCAAAAAATACCTTTGTCATTCATGGAAACACTTCTGCCATCTGCTTGGCTCTGCAAAACCCAAAATTGACCTGGGCTTGCTCTTGTAATCCTGCTCTTGTCTTGTCTGCAAGCCATCATTGTAACCACAGGAAGGAGAGCTCACTGGAACCATGAATGGGCTCTTAATAAAAGCCAGATAAAGACGCAATTAGCAGTCTTCTGTGTCCAGTGGAAAGTGGTGTATATAATAGCAACATTTGAGATGCATAAAGCCCTGTTTTTTTCCCCTGATTTCTTGGTTACTTGTTCCCTTATTTCCTTTAGAATTGTTCTGATGAATCAGAAAGGCCATGATATTTGTGAAAATCTATGGGGTGGGGGGGAGAAAAGCCCTCTGCTTGGGGGCAGCCTGCTGAACAAAAGGCTGCGTGAATGCCAGGGCAGAGCTGGCTATGGAGTTGAGAGCTGGCTGCTCTTTTGCTTTCGAATGAGAAGTGATCGGTGTTTTCTCCTTTTGATTTGTTTTGCAGTTGCTTTCTTGGCCAAGCCTCAAGGCCTGGTTACTCCCAAGAAAAAGGGGAATGGGAATAAAAGAAGAAAAGGAAAAGGCCTGGGGAAGAAGAGAGACCCGTGTCTGCGAAAGTACAAGGATTTCTGCATTCACGGGGAATGCAAATACATCAAAGAGCTGGGCGCTCCATCCTGCATGTGAGTGACGTCGGCGTGCCCGTCCCGGGGAAACCTTAGTCATTGTTCTTTGAATTCTCTAGGCTGCGCAGAGGAAGAGCATGGGGATATTTTTAGTGTATGTTCCCCATCTGCATGGCAGCGGCTCTGCCTTGGTGTTCTGCTTGCTCCTTGAGCTGCGCTGCTTGGAGAGCAGCAGGAAACTTTGGCCTCTGCTCTGGCTTGGTTGCTGTCTTTTGAGCAAGTCCCACTGAAGTCCCTCATGGCCTGGGACTCGGAGCCCTCGGGGGAAGAGGGGGCATGGGATGTCAGTGAGGCTYGTGATGCAGGGAGCTCCTGCCACGGTGGAATTGCTGGGAATGTGAGCTTCYGTGCCAGGGCTCAGCTGCCTGGTGGGGGTCCAAAAATTGGCTTCCCCTCATCCTGCCTGTCTGGGTCCGCAGAGGCAGTCAAGGATCTGTCCTTCTGAAATGAGCTGTAAGTGTTGCATCTGAGGCTGCCTTCAGATCTTCCTTGGAGGGGYTACTGAGCCAGGAGAGGATTTCATGTCCTTTGCCCCTTATTTCTRTGAGCCCCTGCCAAGAGCTGGGGAGCTGCTTGGCCCCACGACTTGCTGGTGAGCTGGGGGTGGAGGTCAGAAGCAGGCATTGCACCTGTGAAAGCTCTCGTGCAAGGGCAAGGGTCCTGGCCTCTTGTCCCATGTGTGGCACATAGCTCTTGTGCAGCAGCACTGCCGAGGGGTGAGACTACTCTTGGGCTGCAGGCAGAGAGCAGGGGCTGGACGAGGCAAGTGGAAGAGAAAGCAGGTTTGCTCACTGCCTGGGCACCCGGATCCAGCTGCTTCTGCCCGGAGTAATACCCGTGGGTGCAAGTTTGATCCCTGCTGACGTGGGCAGGGTTTGAGCTGGTGGATATAAGAGGCTTTGTTCCTTGCTGGCAATCCCTTGAGCCACCCAGCCCTGTGCCAGGAGCCTGGGGAAGATAATAAGTCCCCAGCTTATAGTGTCCAGAAGCTCTTGTGCCCTGGAATCCACAGGGATCAGGGTCTGTGCAGCTCCTTGAACCGCTTAATTTCACCGTGCCTGGAAGCTGTCATGACGCTGCTGCWGGGTGCTCGAGCAGCAGGAATCAGGACTGACAGCAAGAGATCTTTGCTGGACTGGCTTTCGCTGGTGAMCCAGTGTGCTGCAGAGCACAGTCCTTCCCTGGTTCCTGCCTGCATTAGGCCAGGACAGCTGGGCACCCCCTTCCAAGCTCCTTCTGGGAGCAGTCACCATTTTCTTGAGGCCAAAAGAAGCCCTAGAGCAAGGGCAAGCAGGAAGGGTGCTGACCCRAGGATCTTGATCTGGAGCCAGCTGGGGCCCTCAAGACTGATGGCCCCTCCGGGGGCTATCCCCTTGGAGTTGTTGCTTGTATTTTTAGGACTAGTGGCTTATCTCCTTGGCATCCTCTGGGCAGCAGTTCTGGAGCTGAGCTTTGCAGCTTTTCTATTCAGAAGCAGCGCAAGCTATCTCAGCTTCTCCTGGGGCTCTGCAAGGTCTTGGTCTCCTCCTGTAATGATGTCTTGTGAGACCTGGTGTCACTTGATTTGTGTCTGCTGGGACACTTGGGCTGCATCTGGCCGGCTCTGGCTRTGTCACCTGTGCTGCACATGGTCCTTGCTTCCTGCGGCTGCCCCCAGGGGCTGGTTGAGCTGGGGATGGTGCCCAAGCCCAGGAGCTTTGCYGAGAGGCGGCTCTGTCTCTGTCCCAGGTGGCCGCCTCGGGTGGAAGGTGATGCTGGTGTGTGGCATGGTATTAATGGAGCTCTCCCTGAGCGCAGTGAGCCAGGCGGGAGGTCTGGACTGAGGCCATGAACTGGAGATAAGATCGTGTCTCTGCCCAGTTCTGCTGAGGGTCCATGGCGCTGAGTTTATTCAGCTGGTCACATCAGTGTTGACTCATGAGGAGGGTTTGGGTGGCTGCCTCGCGGTTCTGAGGGGGAACTTTATTTCTGTTATATGAGTAACCTCCTGAGCCTGCAGGGAGCCTATACTTCTCTGTTAGCTCTGCCTGGCCCCAAGCATTGGGGAAACCTGCTCAGAGGGAAGTCGTGAGACTGTTCCCTGCTTCTTTGCACAGGACCTCCCATTGCAGATGGCAGGTGGCTTGCAGTGCCGCGGGTGCCTGCATGCCCCCCTCTTGCTTGTCCTGGGTAGCTGTGTCCTGCCCGCTGGGGTCTTAGCGGTTCCCTCTTGTAGCCCCTGTTGTGTCCGACCTCTGTGTGTGTTGGAGCTGGTTGCCACCCAGAGGTGGCCCAACCAGCCTGGCTCTACTTCATAGGCAATTGGGAAGAGTCTCGACACCGATGCGTTGCCCTATGGGGAAGGACGTGCCTTTTCTGGGCATCTTCAGGTGGTGCTTGGGACAGGGATGTGGGGCAAGAAATTTGCCAGTAAACCAAGGGGGAAAACCAGACCTTCTGGCCCAGGGTGGGGGCAGGACTCTGGCTCATGACTGAGCAAAGAGGCAGCTCTGTTGCCTCACAGCAGGAGGGACCTGCCGTTGTTACCACCCTTCTCTAATGCTCTTCTTTCTTGCCCAGATGCCAGCCGGGATATCACGGTGAGAGATGTCATGGACTCTCGCTGCCCGTGGAGCACCCCCCCAGCACATACGACCACACCACAGCACTGGCCGTGGTCGCTGTGGTCCTGTCCTCACTGTGTCTTGTCATCATTGCAGCTCTGCTGATGCTGAGGTGAGCAGGATGGGGGCTGTTCTGCCAGAGCCACTTCCAGGAGGGTCTCAGGGCGGAGGGTGGTGCCAGGGGCCACTCCGTGCTCTGAACAACTCTTGGCTTGGCCTTACAGGTGCCACAAAAGGGGTGTCTACGATGTAGAAAACGAAGAGAAAATCAAGCTGGGCATCACTGTGAACCACTGAGGATGCCACGTGCCAGCAAGGTAAGACTATGGCTTACCATGAGGCTTGGGTACTGCTGGGTGTTTGGATGCTCTGCTTGCTTGTTATGACTTCTCCAGCATGGGGAGAGCACAATGTCTTGGCTCAAGAACCCTGCACTGGATCCAGGCAGCACTCAGAGGCTGGGGAATCAGTTAGCAGGATGTGGCCCTGGAACCCCTGAGGCTGAGCCCCGAGTGCCCTGCTCAGCTCCAGCCTTTCACCCCCACTTTCCTTTCTTTCCCTCCCTCTTGGAGCCTCTGACATCCCTCTGGCATGGCATGGGCAAAAGGCGCTGCAGTTTTGCTCCCACTTGCAGCCTGTGTTTGACACGCTCCTGCCTTGCAGCGGGGCAAGGGCCCTGCTGTGCCCCTTTGGATGGCCGGCACGCTCCACCCCGGAGACGGCCACGCAGCAGCGCCTGGGCACTGCAAAGCCTGCAGGTTTCCTCTTTGCTGGGCCAAACCCTGCCAGCAAGCACGCCGTGCGGCCCTGTAGCCGGCAGGCATGCTGATGTGACATGCAGTAAGCTGCGTTTTGGGGAAGGGGCTTCAGGGCGAGATTGGTGTTGCTGTCCCCAGCCTGGGGAGAGGAGGAAGATACACTGATGGGGAAGGAAACCGATGGGGAGGAAAYGGCCGTGATCCCTGGGAGGAAGCCAGGGGAAAAGGAGCTGTGTGCTGGTCAACCACAGCTCTGCCCTGGCCTCCTGCCCGGGAGCTGTCCGGGCCTCACCGTGTGAGGCGTCGAGCACCTTTGGGCTACCGCTGGGGCTTCGGCAGCACCCAGCGCGCTGCCCACCCTGCTGGACGAGCCCGCAGGAGCCACGGTCGCAGGAGCCGCTCGGCGCCGCGGCAGGAGCGGCCGAGGGCAGCGCCGGCCCAGGGCCGCAGAGCCAACTTGCCTTCCATGCTCTTGTTTCAGGAGTGGGCACAGAAGCAGTTCTACCTCCCGGAGGCCACAAGCCATGGCGCCAGCACTGTCCCCACGCCGCCGCGCAGCCCGCGGGGCGCCCGCCGCAGCGGCCGCGGCTCAGCGGGACGCGACGGTCCCGCCGGGGCGGCCCTGCGGCCGTCGGCAGAGGGGCTGCCCACCGCAGCACCCAGCGAGCAACTAACTGTGAAAGGCTGAAGAGACCAGGCCGGGGGCTGCCTTAGGTGCAGGGGGCGGGGAGTAACAGCTATTTAACAAAATATTTTTCATTTTAAATTATATATTTATTTTAGATAAACTGTACATAGTATTTATATTTATTAGAGGTCTGGCCCTGCAACCTTCATGTAGGACAAGACAAGGTCGGACCTCCCTTATTTTTTAAGTGCAATGTACTATTCTAATAAATAACACTTTGTTACGAACGTTCAGGCTGTTAATTTAATTTAGTGGGGGTGGAAGGGAGTTGCATCTCTGCAAATGGTAACAACAGGCTTTCCTTGGTGGGATACCTCAAAAATATTGAACCCTCTGTTCAGCGGTGGTTGTGGAGGCTGCTGGACCGGCCAGGGTCTTTCCTGCAAGTGCTGCTCCGGACTGGCTCAGGCCTGAGGCCCCACAGGCAATATAAATAACCCCCAAGCTGCTCGTGTTTCCTGCTCCATGAGCTTCCTGGGGGGAGCCAAGACTGGTGTGAGCTGACGGCTCTAGCAGAGAGCCTCAAAGCAGGGAAAACTGGCTGCCTCTCTGCAGGACATCTGCATTCCTCCAGCCTGTTTCACTCTACTAGATGTCAAGCTGTGCTGGCGCCTTCCACTCACGTTCCTACCACTTGCCCTGGAGCAGGGGAAGTGAGTAGTCTGCAGAGATTTTTGGACTAATTTGGCCAAAATTTAGCGCTGGCAAGGCATGAAATAAGCTTTACAGTCCTCGGTTGCCTGTGGGAGGGGGTGCTTAGGAAGTGATYGTATTAGCTCATTCCTCTTGAACAGCGGGCAAGTTCTAATGCAGCAAAACCTGGGGCGTGGGAAGAGGAATGAAGCAATTGCTTGGCTTCCCAAGATAACCGGCCTGGAGCATGTGGTGCAGCGGAAAGGAAGCCTGGGGGACTGAGGGTGAATCGGCACCTTTTCACCTGCAGAGCAAAAGCCCCGGGCTGCTGTGGTGGCCCAAATCCCAGAGCTAGGAAAGCAACTTTCTGGCTCTGCTGAAGCCCCACGTGCAGCTTCCCACAGTGCTGYGGGATGGCTGCTTGAGCCTGAGACTCTGGACTTTGGACTTCTTTAATATTTGTTAAGCAAACAGCGATTGCTGCACAGCAGGCCAGCACCCTGCACTGCTGCTGTGGCCCAGGGCCAGGGGCTCTGCAGAGCTGGGGTCTCCACGTGGGCCCCCCAAGGTCCTTCCTGCCTTTCCTTGGAGCCACCTCTCCTTGCCCTAGGGCTCTGCCCCTCCAGGCACTGGAAGCAACTTAGATGGCCGATTTCGCTCTGCAGAAAGCTGGTGTTTTTCTGCTGTCTTTTTGCTCTGGCTGGGAGGCTTAGGAGCGAGTGCGAGAGCTTTGCAAAGCCCAGTGAGGGGCTGCTGGATCCCTGAGACGGCTCCTCCTGCTTGTGTGGGCTGGGAAAGGAGGCCACCTCCTCCCTCCTGCAGCGCAAGGAAGGTTGATAGCCACCAAAGGGGTCTGCAGGAACCACGCATCGAACAAAAGCAGCATCCAGTAATCTATGTTTAAACCTCCTATGTTTAAACCTCCTATGTTTAAAACCTCGGCCAGCAGCACAAAGAGGAACAAAGGGTCCCCCTTAGGCGTCACCGTCACTGCTAGGTGTCATTTCCAGCTCTCGCCTTGTCCGGCCTATTCGCCTCAGCTGCTGACTCCCGCACCAGTTCCCTGCTGTGGCCTCTTCTCCTTCACAAAAGGCACGGCCTTTCCCAGACTTAGAGTGGAGACGCTGCCAAAACACCAACCTGAGATTTAATTTAATTTAAATTTTTAATCAAAAATGATTAAATGAAAAAAAAAAAAGCGTGGCTCTTATCCACGCTTTCAGCCATTGCGGCACAACGGGGTTTGTGTGCCRGGGGCCATCGTGGTCATGGTGAGGGAAGACGCTGTGGCCCTGCAGGGACGGGTTGGGACGTGCCACCCACAGGGCATGAGCTGAGGCCACCAAAGGACACCTCCAAAATTCACTGAACCATCCCCACTGCCTTGCTCTGAAAATGGACGGCAGCAACCCTGCAAGCAATTCTGTTCCTGACCGATGTTTTTGGCCTTGATCTGCTCCTCGCCCAGCCAGGCCTCACCCTGAGCAGAGCTGGGCTTTGCCAGCACGCGTGACGAGCCACGCTGCCCCGTGGCTGCCACAGGTCTGCACAGCAGAAAGGAGCCACGAGTGACCCCTCCGTAGGGCTCCGAGATGCAGGGGAAGGCAGAGGGTCCTCGCAGTGACACCCAAGGGCTCCACGCCTGCAAATCCCCCGTGGTACGTGTGGAGGAGCGTGCGGGCAGTGGCAGTGCAGCAGGGCCACCACTGCCCTTGGCTCCCCTCCTTGTGCTATAAATTGCTAGTGACTCAGGCTGTGGGACGTCCACRCTCCCCTCAGGAGGCCAGGTCACCCTCGGATAGAATTGGTGGCTACAACTTTTCCTGCTATTCAGTGCAGGGTTTTCCTTTTCTCCACAGGAAGTGCTGGAGATGCGGGRATCTGCAGGGCAGAGCAGTGGGAGGAACTGCATTCCAACAGTCACTGCCTTGGTAGTTGAAGTCTTAGGCAGAAGGTCAAAGAGAAGCATCTCCACCACATCCAGAGGTTGGGGCCGAACCTGCTCTGAGCCCATGCAGCTCCTCAGTGTTTGGGATGAGATCCTCATCTTGGGGCAGCTGCAGAAGGCTGCAGTAAGGGCCGCTTGACCCTAAAGGCTGGATCTTGCACTCTGCTTTGAAACAAAGAGGTTCCCTCTTGTCTGCCCATACAGAACAGCGCACGGGGTATTTTAATTTTGCTGCACTCCCCMCAAAGGCTTCTCATTACCTACCATGATCTCACCCTTTCTCACAGCCCCACTGGGCGAACTCCAAGGAAAACTCTGGGGCTGCAGGGAGTGATGGTGAGTCATGAGCCCCACAGGGTGCCTGCGGGGCTGAGTCGGGCAGCGCTGGCCTGTGCCTCCAGGCAGCTTTCCCCACAGGAGGCAGCGGGCTGCCGCCCCGCACCGCAGCAGCACATGACCGCGTAGCTCCCCGGGCCGGTGCACACTGCTCCTCAACCTCCCCCTCAGCTTTTAATTGGATTGGGGAGCGCGGGGCACTCTGCCCCGGGCTGCCCTGTGCCCTTCGTGCCTCCTACTTTCACTGCTGAAGCAGCGACATTTCTGTGGCCAAGTGACCCAGCGCCTTCCCCTGCCACCGCCTCGGCGCCTGTCGGGACGAGGGCTGCGCCGACTGCCAGCTATTATTAATAAAGCAGCAGTCTGGCTCTGGTTTCAGCTACCGTTCCTGCTTTCTGATCGGTGCCTTGTGTTCCCCCCACGGCGTTGGGGACGGCTTCACACAACCGCCACGCACCAAAAGACGCCGCTGCAGCTCACCATGTAACCCAGCGGCTAACTTGGCACTGCTTAGCAGGCGATTTAGCTCCACCGGGCACTGCACCAGCCCCGGCTGCACCTCCTGTGCCAGGGCTCGCTGCTGCTCTGGGCCCTGGGGGTGCTGCTGCACATGGCGCTGTGGCCCGCGGCGCAGCCCAACAAGGAGCTTGCGCTGCCCCTCACGTGGACGCACCAGGAGGCGGCGGGGCTGCCGGGCGCCTTCCGTGCCGGCGGGCCCGTGGGCTCTCACACCGGGGCCGCGCTGCACTAGCAGCTCTCCCAGGGAGCTTTGCCCAGGGCCGGGGGCCTTCCCGGCCTGCGATCCTGGGCACTCAACACACCCCAGCTGCGTCCTTGGGACGGCAACGGGACCTTGCCGTGGAAGCAGGATGCTTGTGGGCAGCTGCGGCCGGGGGGGAGCTCCTTGCGGCGGTTCCACAGTAAGGAAGCTCGGAGAAGGGCACCTTAGGAGCCTCCTCGAGCAGCGCAAGTCCCCGCTGCCCGGCACGGCTCCCCGGCGCTGGGGACCGTCCCACAGGGCAGGCAGGGCCCCCTGAGCAGCAGAGGGGCAGCTCGGCGCTGCCATCGCCCCCCTGTGCCCCGGCAGACACCCCGTGCGGCAAGGGCCCCCCCCGACCCCCGTCCCCAGGGACCCGCCGGCCCCGGGGCGCCCCTGCCCCGCTCCCGGGCACAGCCCTCCGCGCATGCGCGCCGCGCTCCCGCGCCCGCCCCTCGCCTCCGCGCAGGCGCCGTGCCCAGGCAACATGGCGGCGCCCGTGGACCTGGAGCTGAAGAAGGTAGCGGGGGCCCCACGGCCCTGCCCGGGGTTCGGCCCTGCCCCGCGGCCCCGGCCCTGCCCCGTGCCCCCGGCCCTGCCCCGCGCCCCCGGCCCTGCCCCGTGCCCCCGGCCCTGCCCTGCGCCCCCGGCCCGGCCGTGCCCGGCCCTGCCCCGTGCCCCCGGCCCTCTGGCCCGTTCCTGCCGGCCGGGCCCCGGTTCCTGCCGGCCGGACCCCTGAGCGCGGCGCTCTGCCCCGCAGGCGTTCACGGAGCTCCAGGCCAAGGTGATAGACACGCAGCAGAAGGTGAAGCTGGCCGACCTGCAGATCGAGCAGCTGAGCAGGACCAAGAAGCACGCGCACCTCACCGACACCGAGATCATGATGCTGCTGGACGAGACCCGCATGTACGAGGGCGTGGGCAGGATGTGAGTGTCCCCCGGGCTCGCCGCGCGTCCCCCGGGCTCGCCGCGGCCGGGACGCGGCTGGCGGGTGCCCGCTGAGGGAGATGCCGTCTCTCATCTCCTTCATTGCTTTCAGTTTATGTCTCTGTTCGCGTATGCTGTTCCAGTGATCTTGCTGGGAGGTGCCCTTGCGGCCAAGGAGGCCAATGGGCTCCTGGCTGCATCAGGAGGATGTTGCCAGCAGGTTGATGGAGGGGATCCTGGCCCTCTGCTTGGCTCTGGGAAGGCCAAACCTGGAGTATTAGGTGCAGTTCTGAGCACCTCTGTGCGTCTTGTACAGAGGGATGTGGAGTGTCTAGAGAGGATCCAGTGGAGAGCGACAAAGGTGCTGAAGGGACTGGAATATCTCTCATATGAGGAAAAACTGAGTGAGCTGGGCCTGTTTTCTCTGGAGAARAGAAGGTTGAGAGGGGATCTGATCAATATGTGTAAGTACCTGAGGGGAGGATGTAGGGGGAAGGGGCCAAGAACTTCTTGGTGGTGCTCAGTGACAGGACATGGGTAATGGGTACAAATAAAACACTGGACGTTCCATCTCCCTCTGAGGAAGAACTTCTTTACCATGAGGGTGCCAGAGCCCTGGCACAGGCTGCCCAGGGAGGCTGTGGAGTCTCCTTCTCTGGAGATCTTCCAAAGCCACCTGGATGTGGCTGTGTGTGTTTGCAGGAAGTCTGTTGCAAACCTGCCCAGCCATTCCTGAAGGAATAATACACCWTTGCAATTTATGGCTAACACCCACAAAAACAGCTGTGACCCGATGTAGTACATGTGCTCAGGGCTTTGCTTGCACAAGTGTTCTGCAGAAATGCTCCTTGCATGTCATGCCTGTGAGCTTCAGTGCTTGGTTTGCCCGGACTCTTCAGWCCCAGTCCATCTGTGAAGAAACAGAGCTTTGTTGTGTTGGATGGTTCTCAAAAGACCTTAGACCAGAATTGGTGTGCYAAACACTTCTGTTTGGCTTCAGCAGCCTTAACAGCCTCCTAYAGAAGACCACGCAAACAGGTTTCCGAAGCTGGGAGTGCCTACTGACCATGTAGATGTTGTGCTGCCTTTCTGCAAGGCGCTCATTTTTCTGTTGTGTCCCGAGATGAGTTACAGTGATGACTGCTTAGCTTGGGACGTGGTTTAGTGAAAGACTGAGTCAGAGGCAACCACTGCCAGAAGGGATCGTTGTGGCCGTGTCTTCCCCACCTGCGTTTCCCCACCTTGTCGGTGTTGCAGGGGGTGCTCACGCGACCGTGCGGTGACTTTGGTCAGCTTGCTGATTCAGTGGACAATTGATTCACCAAAAATGCCCCGGTCTGCCTGCCACCTGCTCACCCAATCTCCAGATTCAGTGCCTGGGACTGACRGTGGTCTGTGGATTGGTTTGCAGGTGAGACCAATGGAAAAAGTTACCCGCAGGCTTGCGGAGGCCTTCGGCATAGCACCGAGTGTCCTTCTGCCTGCGCTGTGTGGCTCCTGGGATATAAACTTTTCCATGATCTTGAGTTAGATGTTAGCTTTATGTGGGGTGTTAGCAACTGCTGCCTCCAAAGGAAACACGTTTTGTCACCTTTCAAAGAGTGGCCTGGTTGTGTTTGGTTCTGCTTTTATTTACATATTTATTTACATACATACATATTTACAGATTTACATTTGGAGAGTCCCAGAGCAGACAAACCAAGAACAGAAGATAACTCTGGACATTTAATGATATTTTTTGTTTTTATTTATTTATTTTTTTTATCTTAAAGCTAAGTACTTCTCYTATATGGAGAAATCCCATAAGATAATTTGAAAGAGCTTATCAATCTTTAAATTAAAATAGTTTTGCCTGCAAATGACATGCGAGTGGCAAGTGGTATCAGTTCCTCTACTAGCTGAAGCACATGTGCTACTTTCTATTTCTTTTCCACTTAGGAGTCTCCTTCCTCCTTTGCTTCCCAACCACTTCTAAACCATTTAGACTTTCTCTGTGCTCGGTAGCTGCTGGYGGGACAGTGTCTTGGGGAGCTGCATTGGATTATTTGGCCTCCATGGCCAGCCAGGGTGGCGTGGGCCCCGCTCRGCACCTTTCCCTGCCTCGGCACTGGGAAGGGTGCTCTCTGGGCAATATTTGACTTATGACAGTGTCTAAAGGCTGGACTCTCTGTAAGTTTTGTTGTGCCCATCCCTGCAAATGCAGATTAAGGAAGTGCTCTAGCTCTAAATCCTGTTTCCCTCCTCTTCCTGTCATGGTATTTGAGTTGGAAGGAAGGAAGTTTGCTTAGGCTGCTGCTCACTGCTGCGCTGCGTGGAAAGCAGTGCTGAGCTCTCCGTTCTTCAAACCCTGAGCCTGTTTCCCTTCTGAGGAGCTTTCTCTGCACCATGGGGGAATGTGAGAGTCCCCCTGTCATCCCCCTCCTTGGTCTTTTTGCTTTGCARTGTGTGTAATGCAAAGTGAGCAGGCCGGCCTCGCTGGCCTCAGCGAGCGGCGCTTAATTTACTTTTACTACAGCTATTTTTGGCTTAACGTAAGAAATGTCAGTGTCTCATAGTACGAGGCGATGAATTGCTGTGTACTGTACGTATCGGAGATGCTGGGATGTCATCCGAGTGGTGGCATCTTGCCAAATACATTGCAGTTCTGTTACTTCATACCCTTTGGAAAGGCCTGTTACGTAGCCTGAGACAACTACCGCTATGCTGGACTCGAACTACTTAAGCTGTCTGTGAACTGATATCATCTTTTTGCTTTGGGAACTATGTTGAAAGTTTAAGCTTCAGAATTCTGTCTGAATATTTGAGACCTCTCCTTTTACGTTCTTCTAACCTGTAAATAACTGTCTTGTCCAGGTTATGGAAGAGAACATGAGACACTAGGCAGAATGAGAAGAGCGCTGCAGTTTTTCTTGCCCYGGGATGCCAAAATGGGTACTGAGTTTTGGGCTGGTATTGCTTTATCAGTTTATCAGTTTAATTCTGCAACGGAGGGAAAAATACTTAAAATAAGGCTAAAAAGTAAAAACCAAGCAGATAGTGAAGGATCACTTCATTTTCAGGGTTTTGTGTGGGGACAGTTGTAGTAATCTGATTTTGACAAGTTATTTTAAGAGCATATTTGACCATGATTTGAATTTTAGCGTGGCTTTTAGTTTTGATTGAAAACGAGACRCAATAATTCGCTGCGAGCTCACTTTCCTTCAGCCTTGAAGTCTGCAATCACTGCTCCCAATGGCCTTCTTGCCATGACACTTTTTTGTACAGCTGCAGCGCTTCCAAGGCAGGTTTTTGTTAAGATGAGGAGAGCGGCTCTTGGCTCCCGCAGCGCGGTGCGGAATGCGGCAGCTGCTCCGGGCCTCCTGCTCTCGTTGCAGAGCTCCCCAGAAGCCGCAGGGCTTCCCTGCGGGGTGGGTGCCTCCAGGCGGGCAGCCCTGCAGCCCTCTCCTCGGGCCGCGCTTTGCGCCGAGCTCGCGCTGAGCCCCGGCCGCCCACGAGCAGGCAGGTGCTGCGGCCTTGGTGTCAGCCTTGGGGACAGACGGGCTGCAATTGGCCGCCGATGCTCGGCGTGTAAGTAAGAAATTGGAAGTTCCCCTATTTTCCTGTTGGCAAAAACGAAGCTCTTGAGTGAGCGCGGGTGGGTTGCAGGGTGTCTTTAGGAAGGTGCTGCTGGAAGCAAAACCCAAAGTGACTTGCACATAGGGGTGGAAGGTGTCTGTACAGGTGTCTTTAATGTGAGTAGTGAGGTGGGTGGGAAAAGCTGCCATCCTTTCACTGGCCAATCTGTATTTTGAGAGAGCAAATGCAGAATTTGCCAGCGGGCTGTAGTTAGCTGCTGAAGATAGTGGGATGTTGAGAGACTTGACCCCCTAGTTCTGTTTCAGGCTCAGGAAAGGAACTTGTTCTGGTGGGCACAGATTCCGTTCCAGCTTCATCTACTGTTTCCCCATTCTCACACTCACACTTAGATCTTATCCTTGCCCTCCTGGGCTGCTTGATTGGAATCTCTTGGATATCTTGCTCCAGTTATAGCTTCCTGCCCTGCTGCTCTAAATAGTTTCTCCATGAAGTATTTACTTTCAGAGAAGAAGAGATTGCTGTGGCAATCTGAAACTTAATATACAAGCTGAATATGTGGCTAGTTCTTGTAAATACCTGTGTTTCTTAAAAAAGAAGCCARCTTTAGCCAGGGAGCTGGCATCAGATGGACACCTACAGCCAATGTTGATCGAACGTAAAAGCAGCAGGAAAAAAAAGTCTTACAATGGAAAATAATAGCTAATAGGGAAAATGGGAAAAGTAGGTGCTTTCACTCAACCATGCTTAAAATAAAGCTGTTATTTTAACAGCCCTGCCCACTTCTTGCAGGTTGTGATGGAAGCTGATGGATCAATTGATACAGCTCTTCTCATGCATGTCCCTCTTGCCTGGAGGCATTTAGCTCTTCAGGAGGGTGTTTCTGTGCATCCAGGAGGATGCCCTTCAGATACATCTGCCCGCTTGGTCTGTGTTTTGCTGCCTTTCTCACCACAAAATACCTGGGAGATGCAGAAGGAGGAACTACCTGACTAAATGTAAGAGGTTAAAATAAAAACCAAGAAGTGGATCAGAACGTGAGATAAATTTCYCTTGTAAATTGCCATAGTGGCTAAAATACAGTTTGTTCCTTGGGCATGTGATTTACATGCATTATGGGCTTTGTGGAGCTTGAAATGTCCCTGCTTCTGTGGCTCAAAGTGCCATGTGACTTGGCAAAGAAAGTGCCTTATTGCTAAAGTCTGCTTAAAATGTAACTTTGCTATTCTGAAACTGCCGGGAATTTCTTGCTGTTTTGAGTCTTCCTCTGCTCCCCAAAGGAAGTGTTGAAATTGGACRTTAGAATTCATGGGAAACACTTGGTGCTGGAGCCTTTTTTTCAGACATTTCTCTGGTTTGTCATGTCGTGCACTTAAATTCGGTTGTCCCATGGCAGAGGAGGTCACCCAAGTCACTGGCCCAAGGGG